TAACTTGTTACCACTCAAAAAATAGAAAAGAACGTCTTTGCCAAAACCAGAATAATATATTCATAATTTTTACCGCTTATTACCAGTGTTGCCAACATTGGTCAAGCAAAACGCGCGCAAAAAAATTAAAAAGGGGTAAAAAAGCGTAATTTTCTAACTGAAAATGGGTAAAAAAGCACTAACGTTTTTTAGTCAAATATTGTTTATTTTAATAAAAATTGCACATTATTTCGCTCATTTCCTACAAGACTCCAAAATTCGTTTTTTAGAACATTGACTACAAAACAAAACATGCGTCATACTAAAGTCTTTCATCTGTGTGAGTTAGATTTTTAGTAACGTAAGAACTAAAACTAATGTTTGACGAATATTAGATAAATAAGATGAGAAATTTTCAAATTCCTTGATTTGTTTAAAAGTTTTTTAAAAATAGTAAAATGTCATTAAACATTCAAACTGACAGGCACACTACCAACTGGCGAACCGATGTAACCACACCCAAATTGTAAAATTGTACAAAACTTATGAAATATATTTTTTTTTGCAAAATCTATATATATTATTTTTAAGTTTTTTGAGTTCTGGAAAAATTTTTAATTTCACTGATAGTGAATAACATAACTTATTTTAACGTATTTTGAATATTTTGTTTTTTGTTTTTGAAGAATATTTGCTTTTAAAACTTAACACAAATAAAAAAAACTTTAGAGCACCCGTGTAAAAAAATATAAAACAGTTTTTAAGAAAAATTTAGTCCTTAGTGTAAACTATTAAACTGATCGTATTCTAATAAACAACAAAAAGTGGTACAAATAGAAAGATCAAAGAATGATCCCTCAGTTTTCTTAACATTATAGAGAAAATGTTTAATATTAATTAAATAAATTACCTCCTGAAATTCACAATTATTTTAAAATATTTTAACATATTTTAAATATTTTAAAATATTTTATTCGGCTGTGCCGAATCTTATATACCCACCATCAAATCTTATGACGTAAAAGGAATGCTTCTCTGTAAACATCAGGGAGATAATGCTTAATTCAATTATGTACGTGATCTTCGAATTAACAAAATATTAATTTTTAAAAACAAAATATATATATATCAGAGGTAGTGTCAATTATGAACTGTTTGTCGTAAAATTTGGTAGAAAGACTTCGTATAACACTTATTCGTTTCGAATTTCATTGCTGATCTCGAATTTTTAATTCAGACATAAGCGTAAAAGTTATTATCTAAAGGGGAACTTATATGGGGTTGGGACAATTATATATCGATACCCATAAAATTTTGTACATAGATTTTGTTTTGTTGGTCAGTTATATCGTCATAAAATTCGGAATAAAGAATTATAATAAAAATCTTTTTATTGCGAGTACAACGATGAAGTAATCATGGAGGCTTTATATATTAGGGATAGGTTCAATTGTGTAAAAAAATTGTATAAAACTTATTTTTTGTCAATTTTCATCGCTGTACTCATATTTTTAAGGGGACCTTAATAGGGGGTAGGGTAGGTTACCGAAAAATCCGAATTAAATTCGGTAGGAAGATTACGTTTGTATAAAAGTTGTTTATTTCGAATTTCTCCGCTATACTCGTATTTTTAAGTCAGTAAAGAGCGTTAAAATCAATTTTTGAAGGTGACCATATGTGGGGGTAGGGTCAATTTTGGACCGATTCCCATAAAATTTGGTACAGAGATTTTGACGCATATAAAACTTATTTATGCCAAATTTTATCGCTATACTCGTATGTTTAAAACAGTTGTGACTGTTAAAGCTGTTTTTCGGGGGGTCACTTGTATGGGGGATATGCGAAATTGCGGACCCATATTGCCCATTTGCCATACCAAACAAACCTTACCTATAAGAAATATTTGTGGAAAAATTTAACTCGCTTGCTCTTTCCGATCTAACCCTATCGTGCTTTCAACAGACAGACGGACGGACAGATGAACAGACGGATGGACATGGTTAGATCGGCTTAGAATTTAATAAGGACCCAAAATATATATACTTTTGTGGGTCTACGACCAATATTTCGATGTGTTACAAACGGAGTGACAAAATCAACTCATCTTTTTTGATGGTGGGTATAAAAAGCACTAAATGCAATGTCATAAAATTAGAAAGCACCACTGTAGTGCCTTTTTGAAAAAAGGCACCATGAGCAAAATTTTCCGCGTTTGGCACACCAAAAGGCACCGCAAATAGTGCTAAAAGCACTAAGTTGGCAACACTGCTTATTACATTCTATTTTACATTCTATTCGTTTTCGAATATTAAAAGCTTTCTCATAAGAGAGACAGAATGATATTTACATCTCTCTCATCATGTATATCATATACATGAGATATACATGTTTTATCAAAAATAGAATAATTAAAGCAACAAATAAATGATTGCCAATATATTAATTTACAAGACAGTGATGAACTTACTATTATGTTACGTACTGTCAATAGAGGGAATTTCGTTCTTTTCATTTTGACAAAAGGGAATTTACCAATGAAAAGTACTTTTGAGGACATTATAAAAAAAAAGATACAACAGTTTGAAATAAATGTTGAATTTAAGATATTCGAAATAAAACGAATGAATTTAATTGTATTATTATAGTATGATATTAATAATATGGAATAATTAGAATTTTTCACATTACAATTTAGCTATGTCCGTCCGACCGTCTGGCTGGCTGTCCATGTAAACCTTGTGCGCAAGGTACAGATCGCAATTTTCAAGATAATTGGATGAAATTTGGCACACACGCTTTTTTTGGCCCATTATTTCACCTAGCCACCATACAACAGAACCCCCCGAAAATGGCTTCTGAGCTCATAATTATGTTAAATATATCTGTATATCGATAAAAAGATTTACACAACTAAGTTTTATACAAGCCTTGATGACCTTGCCAAATTTCATAAAGATCGGGCCTCATTTGACCCTAGCTCCCATACAAAGTCCCCTTCCGAAAATTATTTGAATGTCCAAAATTAACTTATAAACACAAATATCGCGATGAAATTCAGCACAAATAAATATTATATAAATATGAATATTCACAAAACTTTATCGGGCTAGGTCCTTATTTACCCCTAGCCCCCATATAAAGCCTCTTCCATAAATTGATTAAATGTATCTGAACAATGAATTATTATGAAAAATAAATCACATTTAATATACAAAACTGGTGTAGGGTATCATATGGTCGGTCACGCCTGACTATACTTTCTTAATTGTTCTTCTGTTTTCTTAATTGCATACCTTTTCTGTCAAAATTTGTTTTTGTTTATATAAATTTTTTGGAAATAAATCTGGCATTTCTAAACGGCTGATCCGATCGGGATAAAATTTGGCGTGAGCGTAGCCAAGGAGTATTCGAGTTTAAGTTTTGAAGATGAACCCTGCAGATACCCCAGGGACGGCGCTGTGGCGGCTCAAAGTAGGGTACCTACGACATGTAAAATTTTTAAAATCGTGCCATTTCTTTGTTTTTCACCCAAATACTCGCTCGACGAGATCTTGGACTCTCTTGCTTGGACATACTACGTATCTCTTATAATATCCGAGCATTTAAAAATTTAGTGATACAAAATTTACCATACCTTGGTCCGCCTTTTTTTTGAATACCGGGCGTAATTTTGGACCAAATGGACTCAATTTTTTCTTGTTAGTTAGACAACAATAATATACAAAAAATTTCAGATCAATATCATTTACAGATCCAAAAATATACGTTTTTTAATTTAAAAATTCAAAAAATTTTAGATTTTTGCCGTTTTTTTGCCAAAAATGTGTCTTAACTCTTTTATTAATAAAATAAAATTTTCTTTAAGAACATATAACAATTTTATAGTTTTCTAAAAGGTATCTTTACGCAGAACGCTTTGGCGTAAAAAACTTGTCCTATTTTTTGAAAATGTTGCCACTGCGTCCTTCCGAATATGACCTATTTTTTATCAAAACTTCAACTTTGGGCGACATGTTCTAAAATCCCAAAGCTGGGATCAGAAAACTGAAAGCACTTTTGGAAACCTCAATATATTTTCTATTTACTCCAAAAGTATTTTCCCAGCCCTGAAAAAAATGTGGACCCTATGGGCAAAAAAGTAAAAAATCCCATTTTTGGGATTTTCATTCCTATTTTTGGGAATTGCGGGATGCCCTTTGACCTTTTCAATTTTTTTTTTTGCATTTTCTTATTTGAAATGACAAATTTAAGAAGCGTTGAAAATTTCATTGAGTTTTGTTCATAAATAAAGATTTTGTCATATATTACATATTTGTTTAATTTCTAAAACTATGATTTATATCAAAATTTTAATAGGGTCGCAGATAGCTACAACAATTTAGTCCATATTTATCCCTTAATATCAATTTTTAGTTAGATGTGTTTTCGTATTGTTGTAGTGATGCATATACCTGGTTAGTGTACCCTGGACGCGTATAAGGTCCCCTGAGAAAATTACTCTAACGCTCACAGTTTAGAAATTGACAAAAAAATATTTTGTTTTTAAAAATTGATATTTTTATATCACCCTGATATCTATAGGGGAGCATTCCTTTTACGGCAAAAGGTTTGATGGTGGGTATGTAAGATTCGGCACAGCCGAATATAAAACTCTTACTTTTTTTTTTAATTTCATGACACGATATCTTGAAAAAAACTAATTTGATGGTATAATTTTGAAGAGTATAATTTGGTCTCTGGGTTTCGATTTTTTTCAAAATTTGTTGGACTATGTTATTTATGTTGACGACTAAATAACTTTGGAAACCGTTATCCGATTTTACCGAATACAGTAAAACTCACCATAGACCATCAGCTTGATGTTTGTTATACTATAAATATGATATTAAAATTTGTCTGAAATCATTTCTTAATTACAAGAAATTTAAGGACAAAAATTTTAAAGTTGAAGTTTTCTCGTATATTTGACAAGAAAAAAATATGTGTAAATAATATATATACACATATTTTTTTATTTCCAGTACACTAGATCCTGCTAAAGCTGATATAAAGATGGTTATTCAAGACAACATGTTTGGAATGGGAGCATTGAATGTGGATAAACCTAAAACCTTGTGTTTAATTGGTTCAGACAATAATGGAAAACAATTATTGTGTAACATAATAGCATCTGAGATAGGTTGGTACTAAGTTAAATTTGTTTATGTATACATATATTAGAGGTGTAGAAACAAAGGCAAGCAATCTCTTTTTTATTCATGATCTTATCTTAAAACTTTAGATTCAATTTGCCAGCAATCTTCTGAGTGAATTTCTTTCAAACTTGGTTTAGATATTCTTCCAATTCCATTTCTTTTAGTGAGTAAATATACAAAAATATAAATATTTTAATATCTTTGGAAATAAAGATTTTCCTTATTCAATTCGAAATATACAGAAATTAGATTGCTGCCTTTGTTTCTACACGCCTCATATATACATATAAATATGTATATATCGGTCCTGATAAGGCTCATATTATCTGATTTTGGTTGTTACTATGGCATTCAATTATTCGGATTTTTATATATTCGTCAATTATTTAAATGAGTTTATACCTTAATCGGCTTCCAGTTGCGGGAATGTAGAGGATGTTTCGCAAGATAAGGGCGAGCTGTAAATAAGTCATATGTAGTGTTTTTCACGGAAATTCCGCTGAATTTTCAATCTCGAATTCCCGAGAAATTGTGCGGAAATTCTCGGGAATTATTTTTCTTAGTTATATGTGATATTTTTGAAACTTTTTTTTTTTAATAAATATATTAATTTGAAGTGTAAAATTCAGAGAATATATGTATATTAAAAGGTGGTAAAAACTAGGAAACAAATTACTAATACATTATATTTGATATAATTATTAGCTAAAAAGCCCAAATCGATAGGTTCGGTTATTTTGGTGTAGGTGAAATATATCAATGGAGTTAGTCATTGGGGTAAAAGAGAATTTTATAATTTTCAAAATTGGCTCTATAGTATGGTTTAAAGTTTTATATAGACGGTATACTGTACGGTGGGTGTAGGGACAATATTTCTATTACCTTACACTTGGATCCTTCCATTTAAAGCATGCGATGAAAATATGAGACAGATGTACGGAAACCAGTTCCGCCTTCATCTGTAAAAGTGCCGGGAAAATGCCATCCGGCCCTGCAGCTTTAAAGGGAGTAAAGCTCTTGATTGCCCCTTTAACCATATCAGATGTAATTACAATTTCCGTGTTAGCCTCCCCTTCTTCCAATATCGGTTCGTCTATGTTATTCGATATACCGGGTGGGAAATGAGAGTCCATTATGAGTTCCATTGTCTCCTCCATATCCTCCAGCCTACTGCCCATGTCATCGACCATAGATTCTGTTTGGACAAAAGGTTTGCATAGGAATTCTTTTATCTTCGATACGTCATTTACACTGTCTACCCAGGGTTTCTCCTGGGCAGATCTCCGCTCTCGTAGAGGGCAGCTGTCCTCGAACGATTCAACCAGGGCACTGGTGAGCATTTCTACTTTGGCGTCTATGTCGTCTTTATTTCGACATTGAAAAGTGTCCTGACATAAACATTGTCCAATTAGTTTTAGACTTATTCCGAAACTTTATCGGCATTGGTGGTGGCCGTAGTTATTTGAGTCCTATGTACCGTTGGTCATAAAAGGAGTGCTCGTCTGAAACTCTCCAATCCTGAATTTCGTTTATAAGCTCTTATGAACATATAGTTATATCTAATACTTCTTCTCTGATTCTATTAACGAAGGTAGATTTATTACCTAAATTCAAAATCTTTAGTATTAAGGAAATCCATGAGGGTTTGTCCTCAAGCAACATGGTGGCTGCAGGCATAATTTTCTTATTTTGTTTTGTGCCTCTTTAGCCAGTTTTCTCAGATCCGACGTTGATGGTAGTGTTGGAGAACCGAAGGGCAGGTAAACAGATGCAAGGTATATGTTGCCAAGACCTTGCTTCAGCACCGTTGCATCCAATGTAGATAATCCTGTTGAGAGGGGAAAACATAAGTTCTTTTGACATAAGATACATGTTCTCGGCCGAGAAAAGTTGGAAATTTACGTGATTTAATCCAGAAACCTTGTTGCGAATAGTCCAAGGTTCTTGGATTAAGGCTATATTTATCTTACCTGTGTTAATTTTAGCCATCAAAGCGTTGGTTGCCGTCTCGCTTCCATGGAGGTTTATTTTGATAACCTCAATCATGGTCATCCAGTAAACTGTCTTCCAGCGAGTTGCTTATCACCTCTTCGCTCTTTGGATTTGACTCTTCCGGGTAGCCTGAAGTGGCTATTAATGCAGTGGGTACTATTATGGCTGCCGTGTCCTTATCAGGCATAGGAATAGAAGTCTTTTTATCGACACTTTCCCAATTTCGGAAAGCACTGCTGTTCTGTCTTCTGGTAAGTGAGTAATTTCCTCCTCGCTTTTAGGATTTGACTCCTCAACATTACCAGTACTGATGTTTTGGGTACCGTTTTAGGTGTTTTAGTGTTCTTGCCGGTTTTGACAGCCCTTTCAATCGGCGCCTTCTCAATTTTTGAAAGGACAGCTGCACTTTATTTTTGCGAGTTAGTGGTAACTTCCTTGCTTTTAGGATTTGACTCCTCAACGTTATCAGTAGTGGCTACTGATGCTGCGGTCTTAGGTTTTTTAGTGTCCTTTTCGAGGCTTGTTGTAACAGCCCTTCCAATCGGCACCTTCCCAATTTTGAATATGACAGCTTTAGAGGCCATAGAGTTCTGGTCGATACCTATTACAAATAAGCCAGTCTCGGCTTAGCGCCATCCCAGGGAGGATGGATACTTTCCACCAAGTTCTTTAGGGTGCTAACACATTGGTGAGCAGTTCACGCTCTCTATTGGTATTTTGCCCTTTGAAGCGATTGCGTGGTCCACTATCTTATTGTTGACAAGGTCTTCCATTTTAGTCTGTTGGTCTATTGGAATTTTGCCTGTCGGATTACCGGCATCGTAAACTGCATAGCAGAGATCGTCCCGGTGTCTCTTCTGGAAACTTTGGCGTAAGATGGCGGCTCTTTTCCTTTTCCACTGTCTACAGCATTGCCACTAACCAAACTTTAATCCTTCCAAATTTTTGTCAAAAATCTACCAAAATCGTTTGAAACCTACCAATTTTTTTAAATCATATAAATTTTTTTTTTTGAGAAAAGTATGTCTTTTTTATTACTTTTTCGCCCCCTAAAATAAAACACACTACAATACTATTCATTTATTTTTTGAGTTCCTTTTTCTCTTGAAGATACGAATTTTGTAAAACAGGGATGTTGCGAATGCCAGTTTAGCGAAAGCGAAAAATAAATTTTATTTTTTGCAAAAGCGAATGCAAATGGTATAATTCAAGTTAATTTGAAAATAAAATATTTTGATGAAAAATTAAGTTGTAACAACATTATTAATTCATAATACCTTACTAACACAAATACAGCTCAGGGACTTTTAATGTTTATTCGCTAAAAGTGTTTACATTTAAATTTTTGCTTAGTTTTCTAAGAAAAAGTATTCGCTAAAATTTAGGAAAACTCTTGGGAAATCATTCGAATCATTCAAACGATGGTTATGTATCAATTGTGAAGAATTGCAGATTGAAGTATTATCAATATCGGTCCCCTAACTGTCAATAAAATGCCCTCAAAATAACACAAATATTTATGTATATTCCTATGAAATACTAATACATTTTTACCTACATATAAATATGTATGTATATATAGTAAGATACAATTCGTTATAAACATTTTCTGCGTATTCTTAAATCCCTCTTCAAATTATAGACATTTAACCCTAGCCCTCATATAACAAACTTAAGCTTTTTGTCTGTCTCTTTGTAATCTCTAGGGTGACGATTGACTTCCTCATAGGACAAGCACATGTTAAAATAATCTGGGCAGTCGGTTGCTAGGTTAAATAGGTCCGACCGAACAGCTGCGCACCCACCAACCAAATATAAGCTGTATTACTTATATACAACTACTTTATCTCGTTGTTGTTGTTTGTTATGTTTATAATAGTCTCAGATTTTTGGTCATACACATCTTAGTTATTTATGGACCCATTTTGTTGATTTTCAATAGGAAAGCATGTCTACAGAATCTGGAGTCTTCTAAAAAATTATTTTAACAAATATACAGACGGACATAGCTTAATCGACTGCGCTATCTATAAGGATCCCGAGTATATACATATACATAAATACTTTATGGTGTCGGAAAATTATGTTGTAGAAATTACAAGCAGAAGCTGGTCTTCGTCAATCACTTCGCCCTGGCTATCAAATAGATTCCCAAGCAAGTCTGTGCTTGATTGGTTAGGTAGGTCAGGGTTTCCACTCTGAAGGTACGCGAGAATCGCCTCTGGTTCGTGTGGTTCCGCCAGAATGACCTTGATTAATCTCGGCTTGCTAGGTATCTCACTGACCGGGATCACGTCAAGTTTCGCGCCGGGCCACACTTCTTCTATAGACGTAACCGCTAATTTAAGCAGATTTGCTGAGCGCTCGTTCGTGGCCAGCAGTTTTATGTGGCCTTGGTACCAGCCAGCACCATCATTTTGCGGAGATGGACCGGGATTCTCTTTGAGAATTTTCCAATACACCTTCAACATTTGTTTGACGAATTATCACCCATTTGTCCTGGGAGATAGCTCCGTCGTTGACACTTTTGTCAACAATGGCCCTAACTAGCGGGTTTTTAGCAACTTCGCTGTAGGGTCTGTTGACTATACGATTCTCGAACTGCTTCTGACGTTTAGTCTTCGGCTGTGGGACTGCCTGGAGAGCATGTTCTTCCTCCGATCGCTGCAGTTTAGGCCCTGCAGATGTAGCTTGGTCCGCTGCATTTGAAGTTGTAGGAGGGTCAGAATACTCCGACTGAGCCAGTAGGAGTATCCAATCTAGGGACGATTTTTCGTCAGTGGTGAGCGCATCGACCGACTTAATTCCAAGTCGCTCGACTAGACGCAAGCGGCACGCCTTTGAACAAAAGCCTTCCTAGATGGATCTTTGCGACTAGGGGGGTTTTCGTTAGCCGTGAGGAGGGTTGAGGAGGCATTAGTTGGACACCGAGTTCGACGATCCATCCTGTCCAGAAGTGCGAGGGTCACTGCTTGGTCCCCACTGCCCGAGGCAGGGGTGTTTGCTGGCTTACCAAATAAGGCTTGTGCAGCTGATGAGGTGCTTGCCACTACGGGCAAGATTTCCTCGCTGGGTTCAGCCGTGCTATCACCAGAAGGTTGGAGAGCAGGCTGTTTGCAGTCCACCAGTTTAAGTTTCTTGTTTTCCACGGGTTGTTTGTTTATTGTGTTATCCATGTGATTCCCACGAGTGGGCGCGTAATGGGTTGGACGACCCACGCAGGGACGGCGTACGTGGGCTAGGCTAAGCATTACAACCGATCCGTACCCTGGCATCGGAGGGGAGCTGTTATCGACTAGTCCTCTTTAACCACTAACTAACCACTCAGGTTCTCGGCACTGCTTCCAACCACCTTAACCTTACAAGTGGGGGATATGGGAATGGGTTTTGGGATTGGATTTAAGAGGGGGGAGGGGTGTCAGTTTTGGTGCGCGGATTTGTACATGGGGAACAGGAGGAATCTTGCTATCATATATGACCGTCTGGTATCAGATGTACCATATGTTATAGCAGCATTCTATCATCTTTTTTTCGTATCCAATAGACCATTTGTCAAAAATGTATCCGTTGGGGTATGATAAAAAGATTGTCCTGAAACATGCACTGCAATGTGTCGAAAAAGACCATGCTTAGCTCCCCGTATCCGCCACCTGGGACGCGTCCAATGGGAGATCTGAGAACTCCACACGGACGGTAATGCATAATATTCATTCAATCTGGATTTAATAAAACTTAACATCAAAATAAGTAAAAATATTATAATCGACTAAGACGAGTACATACATACATATACATACATATCGATATTAATTTGAGCATCTGTGTGATATTCAGAAGGTGCTCTTTTATGGAAGAAAGAATTAAATATTTACCCCCCTATTCACAAACAAAATTTTTATTTTATAAACAGTTTATAAATTAGATTTTGTATGAAAATTTGGTTTTATAAACCTTTTATAAAATAAAAATGTTTGTGAATATGGGGGTTAGAGTTTTAGTTATTTTTATATAAAATATTTTATTGGTGTTACTCACACGGCTCTAACAATGTTTTTCTTGTCACAGAAATATTGAAAATTCCGTTAAAATATTCTTAATAAATCTTGATGAATAGATGTCGAAAAAGATGTTAATGAGAATAATATAATCGGATCAATAAGTTTGTAATTCTGGAATAAAATGTCAAGATTTTTTTTTAAAATTATCTTTTCTGTTTTTTTTTAACGTTCCAAAAAAATCCTAGAAATCAGGTAAAAAGTGGGTTAAGAAAGTCCCAAATTTTATATTATTATTTTTGTTTTCTGAGTTGATTGTTAGGTTCCCAATAAAGGCGCAAGCACCTCAAAATCAATACTAATTTTCATTCAAATATTTTACAAGCACTACTGAAGAATAATGCTGAATTAAAATCTCTTTATCTCAAAATTTTGACGCATAGAAATAAATAAAAATTGATTTTCGATTAATAAAGGTAAGGCAAACATGACACATAAAGCAGGTAAGATATAAAAATTCTAATACCAGATTAAAATTTTGGGTGGTAATCTTTCGACTTTTAAAATTTTTTGTTGGCCTGTGTTTAAAAAATAAAACAAATCAGAATGGAACCACAAATGAAACGACTTATGCACATTCTCCTTTCTCCTGATTGTTAAATATTAGTGAGTTCTGACTGATCTGACAGTCACTTTATGTAAGGATAAATTCAATTCTCCAGTAGCCCGGTACTTTAAAACTGGTCATAAAATTGAATTGGATGTAACTCGACAAAAAAGGACAGCTTTATAAGTTAAAATTCATGGGTCCAAAAATTAATTTTCTCTTATCATTTGAAATAATATGGTTTTTAGACCATTAATTTTAAAAATCAATCTGAAAATTTGTTACTTAAAAGTGGATGTCTATTTTTACCCACATTTTGAAAAGTTATTAAACAATACTAGAATATTTCTTTCCAATGAAGAATCACTTTCTGAGTCGATTAAGACATGTCCGTCCGTCTGTCCAGCTGGCTGGCTACCCATGTAAACCTTGTGCGCAAGCTACAGACCACAATTCTACGAGTTTTTTGCCATAAGGACGATGCCTATTGAAAAAGGTTGAAATCGGTCCATTATTTCACCTAGCCCCCATACAACCTTACCATCCGATTTAGGGTTTTTAACTCATAACTTCGTCAAATATACCACTATCTAGTTTTATACTAGATATATACTAGGCACAACTAAGTTTTATATAGGCATTAATGACCATGCCAATTTTTATAATGATCGGCCGTCGTTTGACCCTATCCGCCATATGAACCCTCCTTTAAAAAATAACTTAAACGTCCAAAAGTTAACTTATCGCGATGAAATTCGGCATTACTAATAAAACTACATCCCTGTTCCCAATTTGTTGAGGATCGGCCCATATTTGACCCTAACTCCCATATAAACCCTCTTTTAGAAATTTAGTTTTTCATCAATAAATTGCTTAAATACATCGGAATTAAGGTAAAATTCAACATAAAAGTTTCTTTATGTAAAATAAATAATTTTTAAAATATAGCCATGGTGTAGGGTATCATATAGTCGGCCATGTCCGACTACACTTTCCTACTTGTTTCTAACTAAATTTCTTAATTTAAACTTTAAATTTTAAAACAGAATTTGTTATTAAAAAAGTGGGATTGAAATCTAAGTCGGGATCAACCTTTAAAAAGCGGGATCATCCCGCTTTTGGCGGTATGTCTGGTTACGTTACTTATAAGTGCCTTTAGACCTGAATAAAAGTAGTATGATTTTTATTTTTACGTTTACACTATTGGTATAAGACAATAGCAAAGTAGAATTGAAACAAATTTTTCTTTTTTATGAGTTTACATAAAAATTGGATCATATGACTGTAAACATTTTTCTCCTACACAAAATTTTAACAGATCATATTACTTGTTGTATAATATAAACAGACTTTTAAATATACATAATAAATTCTCGATAACACCTGACAGAAAAACAAGTAAAAGTGCTATATTCGGCTTTGCCGAATCTTATATACCCTTCACCATAGTGTATTTAATAAATATCAATTTCATAAAATTTAAATTTATTTAATTTTCCGGACTATATCATTATTATAGCAAAACAAAATGAACAACAACAACGCTAAACGAAATAACCACACAAAAAACACAAGGCAGTAAAACCAACAGCATCCAAACATACGAAACTGAATGCACCAAGAAACAAAAACAATATACACAACGCAATGAAACCAACAGCCATCCAAACATACGAAACTGAATACACCAAGAAACAAAAACAATATACTCAAGGCAATGAAACACACAGCCATCCAAACATATGAAACGAAATACTCATTGAATAAGCAGTGTTGTTGTTGTTTTGTATATCAAAGCATGGAAAAATTTGTCTTTTTATGAAATTTTCAGAGCTTGTGTCGGATTTTTGCTTATATCTCCGGTATTTATGGACCGATTTTGCCGATTTTAAATAGCGATCTTCTCGAAAGCATGTCTAACAGAATTATTGAAGATTCGGATCTCGCCGATATCTGGGGTCCTCTAAAAACTGATTTCAACAAACACACAGACGGCCAGACAGACGGACATAGCTTAATCAACTCCGCTACCTATAAGGATCCAGAATATATATACTTTATGGGGTCGGAAAATTATATTATAGAAATTACAAACGGAATGACAAACTTATATATACCCTTCTCACGAAGGTGAAGGGTATAATAATCACTTCTCAGTTATATTTTCTGTCGCATTGTTTAATAATACATTAATAAACTTATGTTTTTTAATTTCAAAGTTAATTTATTGTTTTTTTAGGTGCTATATTTATAAATTTAAGTCCTGAGAAAACTTACCATTTTAGTGAAAATCTAAAATACTTTGTTCATGTTGTAATGAAAGTGGCTAAGGCTTTTCAACCAACAATAATATATATAAAAGACGTTCACAGAATATTTTGGAAAAAAATTCCAAAAGATCAAATATACATGAAGCCAACGCTCTTGAAAGTAGCATTAGTTAAAGATGTATTAAAATCAATAAGAAAAGAAGATAAAATAATGGTGGTGGGAACTAGTAATTTACCCTGGAGCGCTAATGCATCATTTAAAAAGGTGTTTCAAAATATGCTACTTATTCCTGAATCTGATTATGGATCAATTTTTTTAATGTGGTTAGAACTTATAACACAAAATGTTGCCAGTGATTATTTCGAAGATTGCATGCTATCAGTTTTAGCTAAACTATTTCAGAAATACAGTTCAGGTGATATCACAGATAGTGTGGAAAATATACTAAAAATTGAAAGACGTATGCGATTACATACTAATAGGCTGAACCCTAATGAGTTTTTAGAGTACTTTATTTCCCGGCCATATCCACTATTTCCTCTTGAAGAAAAGGTAAAAAAATATTTAAAATACATTTGAAAATGTTCGATTTAATATATGGGTAATTATCAAAGATTTTTAATTTTAGAGTTAAAAAAAACAAAAAATTTTTTTGATGGCACATTCAAAATATTTTGTATTTTAAAAAAAATCTTAAAAATAGTATTTATATATGTAATATTTGAAAAAAAAAAATTGCTCATATTTAAGAAAAAAACTGTTAATATCTGAATTCTACTAGCTTGATTTATAAGGGAATGCAATTAAAAAATTATAGTTTGAAGAAGTTAAATATTGATAGAGTGATGTTTTTTGATGCTAGGTACATTTTATTTGGCTCACAAAAACTACAATTATTTAACTTTTTTGATGCGCCCCAGTTTTACATTAAAGTATTAAGAAAACATGCAAATGGTGATAATTTTGACGAATTTTGAGCATCATACATGATGTGCCTTGGCAAAATGTGTTTAGATAAAAGTGACGTCTTTGTAGCTTACAAGGTCATTTTAAATTCATTTATGATCCCAAACCATTGTGTTTGTCATTATCTTCATGTCTATTCATTACACGTTTGTATAAGTCGATGTTTTATGTATAAAATCGCAAAAATAAAAAAATGAAATTTTGCAAAATTTTTAAAAAGTTCATAAAATTTTTGCTTTCGAATATTTTTGCATGCTCCTCCGATTTTATCTTTCAAAATAACAAAAAACTCAATTTACGATATAATTCAAATTATTTACAATATAAGTGCGAATGTTCCGCGCTAGAAACTGATATTTTAAAAAACGTTCAAGTTTACCAACTTTTGTAGCTGTCGTACCCATCTCCCATTCAGGGCTCATTAACGAAATATATGTATACCATACTGTGTATAATTACATCAGCTAATCACTGTTGTCCCAATTTTTGTATTTTATTAAGGGGCGTCAGCGCCCGGTCAAAAAAACTGTAAAAAATTCAAAATTGGAAAAAACCTGGTGGCAAATTTCAACATCCAAGTTCTAATACGTGAAGTGATATCACACGTATAAGATTGTAAAGAATTTATCTTCTAAGTGTCTTTAGTTAGCACTATAACGAATAGTGTCCAAAAGTTTAAAGCTATGGACCAAAAAATAAAAAGGTGAAAAAACAAGTTAGTGACACACGTTTTTTTTAATTTTGTAAACTTTCAAAACCGATTACGTTTGGAAATGAAGACCTAGAGTTTTACAATTTTTAGGCTGGAAGTCTTGTGTATATAATCCTGTAAAAATTAAAAAACTTTGATAATTGCACATATTTGTATAACATTGAAACATAAAATATTTTCAAATTCTCTTGCAGGTATCTGAAAAATATAAGAACTGGTACAGTAAATCAAGTAAATTTGGGAACTTAAAATTATCACAAGGAATGAAAAAAATAACCAAAAAATAATAATAGTTGATATTGCCCAGATCTGTAACTCAAAAAATACGCAAATTTTATGAATAAAAATTCCTTTAATAATTCAAAAATTAAATAAAGATGAACCGTTGGATTTACATTTATATAAAACTTACGTATGCCTAATTTGAACACAATACTTTATGAGTGAGTGTTTATGAGGTAGTTATGGACTTTTAAGTAATTTGCCGAAAAATTATCTTTTAATGGGGGCTAGGGTCAAATTAATCACAATGTTTACAAAAATCGACAGTACGGTGAACGATTATATCCTATATATATATATATATATATATATATGGTATTGATCGTGAAGAAATCTTGAAATTTTTGTATACAAAAATAATATTTTTGCCATAAGAGATTTTTATAGGAGGACCAATTATGGTCCTAGTATGGGAGCTATGACCAAATAAAAAAACTTTTTAGTGTAATTTTGTATATAAGAGCAATATTTGTGCTAAATGTATGGATATCAATATTTTGTAATGTGTTATGTGTGTTTAAATGTTTTTCTGAAGTGGACCTTGTATGGGAGCTATCATTGTATTTTCTGATATATAAAATTTGCGATAACTATTTTAACATGCGCTGATATTCCGTATAAATGTTCACTAATGGGTACTTATTTTATTTGAAAATAGCTTAATCCGTATTTTTAACGATTTTTTAAATTTTATTATTTTAAACCGCTATATCTTTTGCGCGCATTTTGTAATTATGTAATTATTATCCAATTCAACCACTAAATATGGTTCTTGTCAGAGGAAAATATTTCTAAAAAAAAATTTTATCCAATTCTTAAAAATTTTTGATTTGTCATATGTATGTTATTTATGTAAAAAATTAAAAATCCGGGCTCTAATACATACATACTTGATTTCATGTTTTTAACAACACACCGTTTCATTCCGAATCTTTGTTCTTTCTATGCTTTGTTTTTGTAAACAAGCAAGTACAATAACATAATTTACAATATGGTTGTGTGTTCTTGTTTGTTTACAATTTCTGCCTCAGCATGCACGAAAAATCTGAATTTTTGATAAATTTTTAGAGGCTGTCTTGGATTTTTGCTCATATCTACGTTATTAATGGACCGATTTAGCTGATTTTAAATAGCGTTCTTCTCGATAGCATGTCTGTCAGAATTATAGAAGATTCGGATCTCACAGATATCTGGGGTCTAAATCCGCTATCTATAAGGATCCAGAATATATATCTCTATATATAAAAATGAAAGTGTGTTTGTATGTATGTTTGTTTGTTTGTTTGTACTTTATAGACTGCTAAACGGCTGAACCGATTTTCCTGAAATTTTCACAGTTTCTTCCTGTATGTCTGGAAGGAACTATAGGCTACTTTTTATGTTGAAATTTCAAGTGGGCGACGTGCCACGCCCATATTAAGAAAATATTAAATTAGTATATCTGAGATAATATAACAGCTAGAGTCTTCAAATTTTGTCGGAGCAACTTTAGTATTAATATAATTATTTAAGACAAAAAGTGGGCGGCTTAACATTAGGGGCGTGGTACTTCTCATATAAATTAAATACAAAAATTCGTTTATCTTGGAAACTTTACAGTTAGAATATTAAAAATTTGCACGAGTGACTTTAACATCCGTGTAAACATTTTGGGAAATAAATTGGCGGACTACCAATGAGGGGAGCAGCACCTCCCATATTAATCTTTATATATAACAAGTTAAAGTGCTATATTCGGCTGAGCCGAATCTTAAATACCCTCCACCAGCTACTTTTATATTAATATTTTTCTAATTGATCAAATATTTGTTGAAATAAGTTTTCTCATGTCTTAAATAGAAAAATCCCAAGATTTACAGCTTAAATCTATTACAATTCCAAGATTTATTGAACATTACAAACGCCATTTTCTTTATATTTTTATAGCGCTTAGCAATATTTAGTAATTTGCATGCATGCATGTGTGTGAAAGATTTAAGGACCAAATAATAAGTAATGTGTGTTTAAGTGATTTTCTGAAGGAAACCTAGTATGGGACCGAGCGCGCCCAAGTTATGCACCGATCGTGAAAAAATCTTGAAATAGAATTTTTGTATACAAAACTAATATTTGTGCCAAATTTTGTATCAATAGCTTTATTTGGCAATGAGAAATGTGCGTTTAAGATATTTTCGTAAAAGGACCTTGTATGGGAGCTATGACCAATTATGTATATAAAGTTATGTGCGGCGCTAGGCTGGGACTGGCAAAGAAGAGCGAGCTTCCGGTGCTCCTAAAGTCCACTGTCTACATAAAAGGATGGGGCAGTAAACTGGCTAATGAACGTATACTGGAAATTCTTGGAGGTCAAAATGCTGAGCTGGCCGTGGAAAAATGGGATGTCTTTTACAGGAAAGAAGAACCTGAGGGAACTTTATTTGTAATAGGTATCGACCAGAAATCCATGGCTAGTCTTGCCAAGAATAAAGGTAGGGCTTACTTCGCCTCTAAATCTGTCATATTCAAAATTGGGAAGGTGCCGATTGGAAGGGCTGTTACAACAAGCCTCGAAAAGGACACTAAAAAACCTAAGACCACAGCATCAGTATCCACTACTGATAACGTTGAGGAGTCAAATCCTAAAATCGAGGAATTTACCATTAACTCGCCAGAAGAAAGTGTAGTTGCCCTTTCCAAAATTGGGAAGGCGCCGATTGAAAGGGCTGTCAAAACCGGCCCCGACAAGGACACTAAAACACCTAAGACAGTACCCAAAGCATCATTAGCAAGTACTAGCAATGTTGAGGAGTCAAATCCTAAAAGCGAGGAGGAAATCACTCACCCGCCAGAAGACAGAACAGCAATGCTCTCCAGAATTGGGAATGTGTCTATTAAAAATACTGCTATTCCTATGCCTGATAAGGACACCGCAGTGCCATCAACAGTACTCACTGCATTAATAGCCACTTCAGGCTATCCGGAGGAGTCAAATCCAAAGAGCGAGGAGGTGACCACCAACTCGCTGGAAGACAGTTTAATGGATGACCATGATTGAGGTTATCCAAATAAACCTCCATCGGAGCGAGACACCTACCAACGCTCTGATGGCTAAAATCAACACAGGTAAAATACATATAGCTTTATTCCAGGAACCTTGGACGATTCGCAACAAGGTTTCTGGATTAAATCACGTAAATTTCCAACTTTTCTACGCTGATACAGGATCTCGCCCGAGAACATGTATCTTATGTCACAAGAACTTATGTTTTCTCCTCTCAACAGGATTATCAACATCGGATGCAACGGTGCTGAAGCAAGGTCGTGGCAACATATTCCTTGCATCTATTTACCTGCCTTTCGATTCTCCGACACTACCACCAACGTCGGATCTGATGAAACTGCTTGAAGAGGCACAAAGGAAAAATAAGAAAATTGTAATAGGTTGTGATGCCAACTCGCATCATGTAGCTTGGGGTAGTACAAACACCAATCGCAGGGGACAAGCCCTCATGGATTTCTTTAATACTAAAGACTTGATAACATTGAACTTAGGTAATAAAGCTACCTTCGCCAATAGAATCAGAGAAGAAGTATTAGATATAACTATATGTTCAGAAGAGCTTATAAACGAAATTCAGGATTGGAGAGTTTCGGACGAGCACTCCTTTTCTGATCATCGGTACATAAGATTCAAAATACTAAGGCCACCACCAAAGCCGATAAAGTTTCGGAATAAGTCTAAAACTAATTGGACAATGTTCGGGACCTTACTAAAGAACCGTTTAGGTCAGGACACTTTTCAATGTCGAAATAAAGAGGATATAGATGCCAAAGTGGAAACGTTCACAAGTGCCCTGGTTGAATCGTTCGAGGACAGCTGCCCTCTACGAGAGCGGAGATCTGCCCAGGAAAAACCCTGGGTAACTGGGGAGATCCGGAACCTTGGGAAGACTCTTCTCAAACTATTTAACCGGGCACGGCGTAAAAAGACCGCAGTATACTGGGATGAGTATCGTAATAAACTTGGTGAATATAAGAAAATCGTTCGAAAAGCCAAACGAGACTCCTGGAAACTTTTCTGTGAACAGGTAGATAGCGTAAATGACGTATCGAAGATAAAAAAATTCCTATCCAAAACTCATGTCCAACCGGAATCTATGATCGATGACACGGGCAGGAGGCTTGAGGATATGGAGGAGACAATGAAACTCCTAATGGATTCTCATTTCCCACCCGGTATATCGAATAACATAGATGAACCGATATTGGAGGAAGGGGAGGGTAACACGGAAATAGTTATTACAACTGACATGGTTAAAGGGGCAATCAAGAGCTTTGCTCCCTATAAAGCTGCAGGGCCGGATGGAATTTTCCCGGTACTTTTGCAGATGGAGGCGGGACTGGTTTCCGTACATCTGTCACAGATATTCACTGCATGCTTAAAATTGGCATATACCCCAGTTAAATGGCAGGATGCAAGGGTAATATTTATACCCAAACCAGGGAAACCTAGCTATGCGACACCTAAGTCCTATCGACCGATAAGTCTTACGTCCTTCCTACTTAAAACCTTGGAACGGATAGTCGATAGCATGGTTAAAAGCAGCATACCATACAATGACCTTAAATATAAGCAGCATGCTTATGTAAAGGGACGATCGGTGGAAACCGCTTTAAATGAAGTTGTCCACTACATAGGTGAATCTTTCGATAGCAAACTGTATACACTGGCAGTATGCATTGACATCGCTTGATGGCGCTTTCAATAACGTGCACACTGATACCCTTATCCAATCCCTAGACCAGTTTTATGTTGACCGGGTGCTCCGTAACTGGATCAACTACATGCTAAGGAACAGATGGATAAGCTGCGAGATGTACGATATAACTATCAGGAAAAAGGTATTTCGCGGTATACCACAGGGTGGCATTTTGTCACCTTTACTCTGGGTCACCACGATTAATAGCCTCCTAAGGACCCTAACCGATAAAGGACTTAGACCTGTCTGCTATGCAGACGATGTCGTAATACTTTTAAAGGGAAAGGATCCAAATTACTTGTGTAGAAGAGCTGAGGAGGCTCTGAATACGGCCTTG